TTCCATTCATTACCAATATTCACATTCATTACCAATATTCATATTTGTTACCAAATATTCATATTTGTTACCAATATTCAGTATTCACATTACCCAATATTCATATTTTTACCCAATATTCATATTTGTTACCAATATTCATATTCATTACCTAATATTCACATTCATTACCCAATATTCATATTTGTTACCCAATATTCATATTCATTACCAATATTCATATTTGTTACCCAATATTCATATTCATTACCTAATATTCATATTCATTACCCAATATTCATATTCATTACCTAATATTCATATTTGTTACCCAATATTCATATTTGTTACCCAATATTCATATTTGTTACCCAATATTCATATTCATTACCAATATTCATATTTGTTACCCAATATTCATATTCATTACCTAATATTCACATTCATTACCCAATATTCATATTCATTACCTAATATTCACATTCATTACCAATATTCATATTTGTTACCCAGTATTCACATAAATCACCCAATATTCACATTTATTACCCAATATTCATATTTGTTACCCAGTATTCACATTAATCACCCAATATTCACATTTATTACCCAATATTCATATTTGTTACCCATTATTCACATTAATCACCCAATATTCACATTTATTACCCAATATTCATATTTGTTACCCAGTATTCACATTAATCAACTGGGACGGGTGCATGCCGCATGGGCGTTTCCTTAACACATTAGCACAGGTCCTGTTATTTCTAATCTTGCCCATTTTAAGGAGTGCCCCAAACCTGTTACGTATTATCATAATAGGGCTGTTATGACATAACAGACTGACATTGAAGGATGCGTCTTTATTGCACTGGCTACATAACATGAACCATCACACACCCATGTTTACCAGCTTCACTGTTATATACATAAAACGTATGTAGATACCTATTATATACATGAGGCAGATATACTCTTTAATCTCAGGAGATGAAAACAAAACATTTTTATAAGACTGGAAGTGCATGACCTATCTTGTATAATGGCTATCTCCCACAATTCCTTAATTCTTTTCTTGAATAATTAACACCCAAATATCTTTCATACAAATTGGAACATTTAATTTTTTTTCTCCTTCCACAGTTTTGTGACAAACCTTCAGATGTTGCAAAGCATGTGTTAAGAATGAGAATATAAACATCTGAATGAACCATCCAGCAAGAACCGTCACTCAAAGTGGATCTACTTCTCAGATAGGTGGCTGTGCAAGAGGATGTCAATGCATATCTTGATACTAATGTATTGTTATTTTTGTTGTCGATGCCGTACTGATACAAATTAATGAGAACTGATACTTATCAATAATTCACTGTCACAGATACATTTATACTCTTTGGTACTGTCATGGTTAAGATGGATGATAACTTGCTGTCTGATGGCAGCTCACAGTGCTACCTGAGAGATGAGAAATAGTGCACTTAGAAACAAAGAAAACATATTACTACGCATGTGCAAGTACACAAGTACCCTGCAGTGAAGAGAACAACTATGCAGAGTAGTACACTTATCATTTTGCCACAGAGCAAAATTTGTTTGCAGTAAACAAATAACATGTTAAGATGGATGATGGAAAGGTAGAAAATTCAATTTAAAACATTTAAAGTACCGGTATTATCCAAATTCAAATGCAGCATCATATTTATTAACTGAAAGTCTCTATTCTTTTGAAATGACAAAATGACAAACCAGTTTTATGAATAACAGATATATCAATATGTCCAGATCTGGATCCCCCATAGATACTTAAGTCTCCAATCAATGCCCCCACCCATGCTGCACAGACCCTGTCAACCTGGCACTTCAGTGGAATGAGGCACAACCTGTCTAGGCAGAACGTAGCAATAACAATCAGGGGTTGATACATCGCAACATGAATTAAAAAGGAAACCTTTATCAATAAGTCAAGACAAGTCAGGACATGAATAATATTAATATTGTTCTTCTTTGTAATGACAAAAAGATGTTTATTATATAAGGGGTGACTTGCATGTGTTATACATTCGTAATATTTCAATACTCTTTCCATTTTGGTAGCTGTGAATTTATCTTTGGTGTAGAACACATCAGTCAATGGGTGACAAAGGTTTCATTTTGTTATTTATAGTTATAGTCACTTAAAATGTTGAGCTCGCATTTATCATGTCCACTTGGTCCACCAGTATATGCCTCCACCAGGATAACACTATAGTTATCCTGCACCTTAAATGTTGAGCTCTACATTTAAATGTCCATGACATAATTAGACATCCACCAGTATAATCTTCATAATTTCCCATCCTACTCCTAACACTTGTTTTCATTACAATATCCAGCCCTTTGTCTGTTACATTTTAATACCACTGTCCGTGCTGACCAAACTTCAGCAACCCATGCTTGTCGTAAGAGGCGACTAACAGGATTTGGTGGTGAGGGTCGCTGACTTGGTTGACACACGTCATCGTATCCCAATTGCATAGGTCGATGCTAATGATGTTGATCACTGGATTGTCTGGTGCAGACTTAATTATTTACAGATAGCCGCCGCCGTATAGCTGGAATATTACTGAGAGTGGAGTTAAACATTTTAAACAAAAAAACAACAACCTAGGTTAAAACATGTCTCTGGACCACATTGCAAAATACAAGAGGTATAACGTTTGTAGTTTGTAAACAATGAACACCAGTGTCTTGAGAGTAAAAGTAGTTCACCAGGTTCAGTTACAGATGCAATAGTGATGTCATGTCATTGTGACATCATAATAACAGATGATGTCACAATAGTCAGCAAAGCAGTATGCTGCAATTTGATTGTGGCCATTATCTCATAGATGATCACCTGGTCTTACCTATGTGATCTGTAACATATGCCACCATGTATAGTTAATAAAACACACTTCAGAACTATTACACTTTCTGAGTTAAAGTACAGACGTTACTTGTTGCTGAAAATTGTGAGCTGAATTGACACATTTTAACTTTAAACGTAATGTTGGTGTTAAACTGCAAACCAAGAAATGGGATGCAAAGATTTGTTAGAGGTCGTGCGAGGTGATGACAACCTCAGAGTCAATGGCACCTAGAATGGGCGCTGAGTGCCAAAACACAAAGTCGGTTATTGTCTAACCAACACAGCATCCATGGCTTCTCACAAAACAGATGGATGTTGGGTTAAAGTCCCATCAAAGGACAACTGGTAGTCTTGAAAACACAAAGTCGGGTTATCTAACCAACACAGCAACCATGGCTTCCACAAAATGGACAAGTGTCTCTTGTCTGCTTTGTAGAAGCCAATTTTGTACGATAATACACAACAAATTAAGCCACTGAACATGGTAACCTGAAATGTTCCTTCTACAATTAATCTCTGGCTATTTTGGGTATATGTATAGTTCTAAATTGAACATAGCCATTCCTTTATTTCATACCTCTGGTATGTATTCTTCACAACTGAAGAAGCCTATTCACTATGTAGTGGACTGGTACTCAAAACTATACAATGCTCGCATGGGTACAGTCCCTCATTTGTACCCTCGCATTCCATGGTCTCACCCTGACGTCAGTTTGAGCATATCAATCGACATTGGAATGTGATCACAAGTCTGTGGTCAGTTGGTTCTCAAAGGCCCAACCTGGTCAGACAGCTTTAGCAGTTGTGTGGTGTAATCTTCATTCAAAAGCTTGTGATTTGCTTTAAGAACAGCAATGAAAGGCTGAACGAGAGGGTCTTAGGCTACATTAATATGTGGTCCAGCATAAATGAAATGTTGTAGCTGACAATGTAGCACCTGATTGACAAAAGTCTTACTTGAGTCCAGTACAGGTCCTATAGACTATCATTGGGGCGTTGAAACATGTTGAAACACAATAAATACCTCTGTTCAAGAAATTAAGTTACTTATGCTCACGCTAAGTAAAATATTATTTGACAAACAAACAAACAAACATGTGTTCATATATATAGACAGAATTGTACAATCAGCTCTGCTTTTAGCAGTGATTTTGTAAGGATGTGGACATGGGTTTTTTTTGCTTTTATTTCATATTTGACCATCTGGAATGGTTTCATGATTTCATGGTTTCATTACAATCAGATGTTCTATTATGGTGCTGGACAAGTTGCCTATTCTGCAAAGGGAGAAAGCTCTACAACCATAATAAGTCAATGTAAAATAATTGGCTGAGTCAGAGCTCTCTTAGTGGGGCAAGCTCTGACTGATTCATTCACAGTATAAGTCAAGGTGAACAAAAACACCATCAAATATACAAAACGTAGAAGCCATTGTTCTGCCAAGACGTTGGCTATTGCCTGAACTTCACATTCAGCAAACAGACCTATTTTTATGATATAACATTTGAATGACAAAGTGAATCCATATACTTTGGGCTGGGCATTCATGTGCTTGAGTTGGGAAGGCAAGTTCTCAATTGTGCTGCTTCAATGTTCCACTAATATGGCCTTTCTTACCATCTTGGAGATTTATGGCATATAATCTGGTCTCTTTATAACAAGCACTGAAGAACCTCATTTGAAGCTGGGACCACCCAATATAATATTCAGGGTACCAACCTCTGAAAAGATCTCAGAGCACTGGTGAGCTCTTCTTCTTTAATATGAGACATTTTGTTGCTAAGTTTTCCTGATAAGATGAGAGGTGGGGTAGCCTAGTGGTTAAAGCGTTCGCTTGTCACGTCAATGACCAAGGTTCAATTCTCAACATGGGTACAATGTGTGAAGTCCATTTCTAGCGTCCCCCATGTGATATTGCTGGAATATGCTACAAGCAGCATTAAACTCAACTCACTCACTCACTTCTATTAAGACTGAAATATTCATACGATTGCATATATACATAATACCACTCAAAGGTTAAAAGCATCTCCATCACAGACCATCTACAGCCATAGGAGAAATGTTGGATTCATGACAAGACACATTTCCTCGTTCCATTATAACAACACAAAGTCATACTGCATCATTTGGACATAGAATGTTTTACCTATAATAAGTCAATGTAAAACGATTGGCTGAGTCAGAGCTTTCTTAGTGGGGCAAGCTCTGACTGATTCATTCACAGTATAAGTCAAGGTGAACAAAAAACCCATCAAATATACAAAACGTAGAAGCCATTGTTCTGCCAAGATGTTGGCTATTGCCTGAACTTCACATTCAGCAAACAGACCTATTTTTATGACATAACATTTGAATGACAAAGTGAATCCATATACTTTGGGCTGGGCATTCATGTGCTTGAGTTGGGAAGGCAAGTTGTCAATTGTGCTGCTTCAATGTTCCACTAATATGGGCTTTCTTACCATCTCTGAGATTTATGGCATATAATCTGGTCTCTTTATAACAAGCACTGAAGAACCTCATTTGAAGCTGGGACCACCCAATATAATATTCAGGGTACCAACCTCTGAAAAGATCTCAGAGCACTGGTGAGCTCTTCTTCTTTAATATGAGACATTTTGTTGCTAAGTTTTCCTGATAAGATGAGAGGTGGGGTAGCCTAGTGGTTAAAGCGTTCGCTTGTCACGTCAATGACCAAGGTTCAATTCTCAACATGGGTACAATGTGTGAAGCCCATTTCTAGCGTCCCCCATGTGATATTGCTGGAATATGCTACAAGCAGCATTAAACTCAACTCACTCACTCACTTCTATTAAGACTGAAATATTCATACGATTGCATATATACATAATACCACTCAAAGGTAAAAAGCATCTCCATCACAGACCATCTACAGCCATAGGAGAAATGTTGGACTCATGACAAGACACATTTCCTCGTTCCATTATAACAACACAAAGTCATACTTCATCATTTGGACATAGAATGTTTTACCTATAAGAAAACCAAGACAATATTAATGCCAACAAAAATATTGCGAACTAAAAGCTGGGTAAGGAGTGGAAGTTCCCATGAGAAAATCGGCAACGATATCGTCACTTGTCACAATCAGTTGTCACATGTCACCCCAGTCCATAGCAGATTGATCACAAACACTTCACACCTCGTACAGCTTGCTATACAGATGTACAAACACATTTCAGATTAAATACATCCATAGAACGTTTTATTTTCTTTTTCACTACTCAGGCCATTTTTTTCATCTTCAACCAAGACTTGTAAGAAAGAGGGTGTCCCCTCAAATGACGTTACAGACACACAGAACGACTGGGCTATGTTTGCTCAGTTCTCCACTGAATGCAACTCTGAAGAAAGAGATACTCGTCTTCACAAACTATATTTCGAGGCTGACAAAAGATTATGTAGACAGGTATTACTAAAGCAGTTACATGTTTGCAACTGATACCCTTTGAGAAACTCAGGTTCTCTTGCTGATATAGCTGTCTTTCATCAATTATCATGGACCTTTCTAGAGGTCAACCCTTCTATACCAGTTGCACAAACAGGATCAGTCTGTGTTGAAAACCCAATATGGTCTAAAGAGGTTCCTGTCAGTACTGTGGGCAATCAAGTACTGCTATACACATTATGCTACGAACTATGTTCTCACTGACAGAGATGAGGTGAAATGGAAGTTAACGTTGTACTTGAGAATATTTTGCTCATATGACGACGAGCATGCGTGTGTATGTGTATGTGTGGCTGCTTGTACTAGCCCAGACTTAAGCTGATTTTATAGTGCTAGCTCACTGAGATACAATGCCACAGTTTAGCATGAATACACCACTCAGACATAGTATACTGACTCAGAGCCGACCAGTCCAAGCTTGGACCATCAAGTACCATATTTTAACGTCTTTTGGTACGACGCGACTACGGATCAAACCCTTTTGCTCTCCCTCACTAACAGAACTTCATAGACAATCAGTTTTGCTTGAGATTCAGGATCTTTTTCTGTTACTGCATCAAAATATGAAGTTGTTGTCTGTGAAAGGATCAGATGAATTCTGTATTAAAGGACATCCACTATTTCCAACAAAGGACAAATAAAACCTCAGATCATGGTATATTTTTATTTATTTTTTTTAATTTTTTTGCTATAATTCTGAATTATTTCTTATGATGGCAATCTACATGTAAGCAAAATTCCACACTATCAGGGTATGATGACAGGCTACTGACCAAAGCATCCAATTTGACCACCCTGTCGTTTACAGACATCACAGGTTGCTAATGGGATACTCCCTTTTGGAGATGAGTGTTCGAACTACCCGATCTGATCTTGCTAGAACTCAGTTTGGATCTTGTGTAGCTGCCATGAAGGTTTGTGAAAATTAATTTTTGGGAATCATGTACTTTTATTATATATTTTCAATCACAAATACTGCAAATACTGCAACCACTAATTAAAAATGAAACAAACTTAAATTTACTCATGGAAAAGTGATAATACAAACTTTTTCCCATTCTTCGTGGTTTGGTTCATCCTTGGGCTGGGACAGATAACCCGGATACCCAGGACGGGTGGCCAAAGAGTTGGACCCGGGTACCCATCATATTACCCGGACCCGTTTTAATCCATTCTCTTCCCACAGAGGTTACTCCTGTCATATCTTCCTACATAACCTCTGTTCTAATACGACCCTTTCTTGGTGTCAGCGTTCAAGGCTCGTGATTGGAGACAAGCCGATTTAGTTGTGCAATCAGCGACGTTGTTTCAAAAGTGATCATTCGCAAGGCCTCGGTAATTTCCGTATGCTTCGGGAAAACTAGAACCTCTTCCCGAGCGCGATGCTCAAACGTTTCTTCTAGACAGAACTCAGTCATGTAATGGCGTATCAATGGCGTCTCCATCGCCCTCGTTGACAACGGACAAGCTAGCCATTAAACGTCTTGTGTGTAACATCAACGCAATTCCCCGGCAGATGGGGGATATTTGTGGCCCCGCATTTGCTTGTGTTAGTCAAATTGAATCTAAGTCGATGTAACACGTGTTCTGATTGGATAGAAAGATGGGAGATAATTCGTGTTGCGATCTTTTGCCGCTAGGGGATTTTACGAGGACCGGGAAATATGGCCGTATTAGAACAGAGGTTATGTAGGAAGATATGACAGGAGTAACCTCTGTGGGAAGAGAATGGTTTTAATCATGTGACTAAAAAATGTAAAATTAATTGAACATGTTTGTTATTATTTTATTGTTTGTTATTATAAGATTGTTGTTTTATGTCCGAGATTGTGAACAAAACTTGCACTGAAAACTCACAAGATATCAGCTGTCGACAACTAAGCATGCCACGTGTAACATAGGTTGTAAGTATGCAAAGTAGTTTTTTGTTTACATGTAAAAGACCCAGGAACACAGACATCTGCATCAAATAACAGGTATCCGGGTCGGGTTGGGTAATAGAGGGTGGGGTACCCGGGTAAAATATGGACCCATCCCAGCCCTAGTGCATCCGAAGCATTTTCCCAGTTAACAATTAGATGACATTTCCCTTTCAACATACTTTCACAGCTGAGACAGGAGAAATTTCAACAGGACAGCCAACACATTCAATGTAACAGCAAAAAAAAAGTAAAACAACAAGCCTTTTATTCTTATTTGTTATCCACAAAAGTTACAACACAATAGCATTTGTGATTACTATAACAAAATGAATTGCAAAATTATTAATTCCGATTTATGACTTTTGTACAGACACTGGTAGCAGACTTGAGGCCCAATAACTGGATCAAAGCAGGTCCATAAAAATCACAGTGAAAACCTTCAAATACAGACATTTCTCAGCATGATACACTTCTACCATGGTGACAGGACAAACAATTAATGTATGTTTCTACACAAACATTTCCCCCTCCTCAAGACACACAATAAGCCTCTGTTAATTCATGCATGTACCAACCAAATACCTGACTTGTTCTTTTGACCCTGGAACCTGAGGCCGATTGTCAGCTCACTGAGTGGGTGGGGGGAGGGTGTGGTCAAGGTGTCTAGGTGTTCCTGGTGATAAAATGTTTCCCGTCTAAACTGACAAATTAATCTCTGTGCTATATAAGCTGGGGCACAACATTCACTGACAGATCCTAACTGTAGAAACAGGACCTACGGGTTACTGGCGGAATGCTGTTAGAACAGGTATTGTAGGATTTCAGCATTTTCAATTCAATATTTATTGATTGACAATCAATCAGTTTTCATTTTTACATCATTCATCATCTCTGTAGGTCGTCCATGTTATAAACAGAACAGCACTCTAATCTCGTATGTTAGCGTGATGTTATTCAATCACCAGTCGCGCGTCCACTCAGTATGATCACACAGCTACTGTAGTAGCTCCCCCCAAATTTTTTTTAAAAAATGTCTGTTTCCGGTAACCTGACCGACCCTATCCTTAAACAACACCCCCCACCCACCCACCCAGACCCAGACCCTAAATCTTTTTTTAACCAAGGCAATAACATGACTGGAGTGCATTTCAACTCATCATTTTCATCCAAATCGAGTATGATATTTTCATGTTTTTCAGTGTATGTAGGGCAAAAATGGATTGCATTGAATTGGCATAATGGGTCCTCACTGACCAAATCTGCAAATAAATAACATAAATAATGATTTGATGTAGAAATCTTTCAATGTCTCATCATAAGGCATTATCACTACATGACATGGTCCTCTTGAAGACCTCAGGTGCCCACCTGGTGCCACTAAGAAATAAAAAAAAAAAGTAAAAAGAAAAAAGATAAAACCAACCCACCTACCCTATTTTTAAAAAGCATGTAATAGGAAACGGACATATATTTTGGGGGGCCTAATGATAACATGATGATACTTCTCTAAAGCAAAGCATAGTTTAATGACAGGAATTTTTTACACAGCGATCACACCCCAGATAGCAAGGCGGACGTTGGCCCAACGTTGGCAATGTTGGCAAAACCATTGCCAACGTTGAATAACGCCTGAATTATGAACTAAGCTTTGTTCAGTATCAACTGATCAGACATACATTAACCTAGAGAGAGAGAGAGAGAGAGAGAGAGAGAGAGAGAGAGAGAGAGAGAGAGAGAGAGAGAGAGAG